GTATGCCGCCCCCCCAGCTGCAGCAGCCGTACCTGGGGCCCCTCAACGCCGGGACATGGCTGGCTCTGCCCTGGTACTGGCCTACGCACCAGGCTGCTGGCCCACGCATTTCCCACGCGCTGCGGGCAAAGGGACCATTCCTCATCACACACAAAGGCACTTTCACGCCACCCCAGCTCATCCAGATGGGCGTGGGGGTCTCTGTATTTGAGCCCCCTTGCTCAGTGTCATGCAGACAACCCTGCTCCGGGCCAGGCTGATGTGACGCCTGGCGCTGGGTGAAATCCTCTGGCTCCTGGGCATGAACGATCCCTGCTGCCTTTAAACCTGGCTCCAGCTCCGCAGCCTGGCTGGCCCATAGGGGCTGCCAGCAGCCCCGCGGGCTGCCTCTTCTCTCCGTGATGTGCCTTCGGCCCAACACGCCTCGCTGCTACAGAACTACTCCACGGCTTTCCGGCTGCTGCGCCCTCTGCCGCGGCCCAGAAGCGCCCATTCTGCAGAGGAGTTCAGCTGCAGAACTCTGTGAACGGAAACACAAGCAAAACCAGACTGGAAATGCAGAACTGAGCACCGGCAGCCCATTTTTTTCAAGCCAGAAGGCACAAGAGTCCAAAATTGGGAGCAACCACACAGTCTAAGTAAACATCTAATGGAGTGGGGAGCAGGAGAAGGGGCCCTTAAGGCCAAACATTTGCCAGGAACAGCTGAATCCAGGGACCGAGCTCCACCGGCCTTGCTGTTCCCTGCTGTATTGGCGAGTAAGAGGCAGGGTGCAGAAGCCGGAAGGATTCCAGGTTTTAACGCTGTTGCTCTGCTGATTGCACCAAGGTCACAACTCTGCAACCCAACTTCTTTTCTGACACAGAACGTGGAGGTTTGGTCCAGCAGTACCCAGAGAGCTCTGGATTCCCTGGAGCAAAGCCCCCATCACAAGAAATGAGAAGTGGCCAGGACAAAGCCCGGCGGAACAGGTGAGCAGGCCAGCGGCGGGCGAACCCCCCCGCCAAACTCACCCCCCTCACGTGTGCCCTCCATGTGCTCCTGTGCGCGCCCCGACACCCCAACGCGCTGTCAGGCCCCGTGTGCCAGGGCCCTGCGCCTGTACGCTGCCAC